GGCCCGTGTCAGGGAGCCTGTGACAGCCAGAGTGGCTGAGATGGCTTGATCTGCTCTAGCTGGAGTTTCCCCACCAGTGATGTGTAACATGGCACTACTGCAGCCAGAGGGTGATGGATATGCAGCTCCTCAGGAGTGGCCAGGGCTTCAATGATGTCAGTCCTGCAGCACCAGTCACCTGACTGTGAGGGAACCTCAGGGTAAAAGACAAGAATATTTAACTGCAGCATAACTCTGCCTCCAGCCCAACAGCGTAGCTAAGCAGGTCAGCTTTGGAGGGGTCCTGTCCACCAGTGTCCCAGCTTTGACATTGCTCAGTAGGCAGTCTTCTCCTGGCTCCCATCCCCTCCATCACTTCACTCATAGCTGAGCCTCTAGGCAGTTCAAGGAGCCTTGGGAGTGCTTTCAAAGAGTGAAAACTAAACATTGATGTTGCCGATCCACTGACGATTTACATTTCTAATATTTCTTCAGTTTGATGTGGTTGTGTTGTGTTTTGGAGTCTCCCACAGAGCAGCAGTTCTGATCTGTGGATAGTCCTGTATTTCAGAGGTTGGTTTGTCTTTTTATGTTTTCTTTACTTAATTTTTAAAAATTGTCACATCCACGGAAGTGAAAAAGTCCAAGAATTGTAAAGCAGCTCCCTTTCTGAGTGAAACTAGCCAGTTGCCAAATGCAGATCTCGAGTGACTTGAGGTTGGATATTACACTAGGGCGTGGGCACAGCAGAAGAGGCACAGGATGGCAATTGAGGGACTAAAAGAGTTTACTGGCCTGACTGTTGCACAGAGCTATGGAAGATGTGTTAACATAGGTGTGAAAAGCTGAAAAAGGAGGCTTCATTTGCCAGTGCAAGTCAGCAGCAAGGAAACTCCAAGTGATTATGCATTCAGTCTGACACTTAAATAATTTAAGTTCGGATTTCAGGAAGAATATCCTGACTTACAGAAACTAGACTGCAGCTCAGTAAGTGACAATTTCCTTGCGTGGGAGAAAACTTCTCACAAAGTTCATGGAAAATGGACAGAGGAAAAATGCTTCCTCATAGTCCAGCTTATATTATGAATAGTGAATACTTGTATGAGTGATGTCTTTCATGTTATCTTCTTGTGGTAATCACTAATAATGAGAGAGAGAGTTTATGTCCCCACTCCCTAGCACAGCTAGTGTACTTTTTTTCCCCATGAAAATGCTAGAACTTTACTATTTGGGTGCTGCACATGAGAATTGTACTGGAAACCACTTGTAAAGACTTTTATAGGCCTATCTCCTCTTATGGTGCTGCTTGATTAAGACAAACACATTGCTGTACTAAAAAGAGGACAGAGACTTTATAATGCTCGTTCAGCTTTTAATATTATTAAATCGAAAGTGTCTGCCTAGCTTTTACACTTTCTAGTAAGGCACATTTTTAAAATCACGGTATTCTCCTTTGCCAGAAGCACATCAAAATGCAACTCAACTCCATGGCAATATTATGTAAGATAAATAAAGTCCTCAGCATTTCAGGCTATTTAGCAATACAGATATAGTAGTCTTTGTGGTGCAGAAAGGGCAAGAAATGGCTTCAACCAGTCCTGCTTCTTTAAAATGCAGACAACAATTATCTTTTAAGTGTTAACTTTTTTTTCACAGAGAGAACTTGCACACTTTCTATTACAGCTAATAAGGGAAGTGTTTCATTTCAATAATTTAATGCTAGCGCCACCCTAGTCTTTCATTATTCTGGACTCATGGACTGCTTTTGCAAAAAAACAGCTTTAAAATATAGGTCAACATTAAAGGATTTTGAAATAAGGCGAAAATGCTCTTATTTCTCTTTTGAGTGGGTCCTTTATTTTAGTATCCATAAGAGAACTTCTCTCTTCTCCAAATCCTTTCTCCCTAGGAGGAATCAGCAGGGACATTGTGACTTATTTGAAAGTTAAGAGGCTGAAAAGCTTTAGAGGAGGCATTGTAATCTGTTATAAAATGTGTACAGGACAGAGGCATACATTTGGTTGGAGTTGTTGGTAACTCCTGCAGCAGTAAGGAAATAAGTGAAAAAAAGCCCAGTCCTTGTGTTTACACCACATTAACTAGCACAAAGAGGCAAGTATCTCCTTTCATTGTTGCTGAGATGTACAATTATCGTTTTGATTCTTCTGTTCCTGTAGTTCCCTAAGTTCACATACAGAAAATGTTATTACAAATACAGAACCTGTTTAAATTGCAAAGTACTCTCACCTCATCAAGAAATCAATGCTGTTAGCTTTCTGTTTTTACAGAAACAGTATTGATCAAACCTAGAAAAACATGGTGACCTGGGGAAAAAGATGAGGAGGGAGGCTTGCAATGGGTCCCATCTTTTGTTTTTCCCAGGTTGTCATAGATTAGATGCTTAGCATTCACCTTAGCATTCATATCTGGCTATCTTAACTTGCACAGTGTGTACAAAGGCAGGTGACCATCTGCTTTTTTTACCTCGTCACTCAGTCTCAATATTAAAAACTGGGTCTACTTGGCTTCCAAGATGATTATAAGTTTAGCATTTTGAGCTAGTGGAGCTGAGGTAACTTGGTAAATGACTTGGTAGGGATCTTGAAAGCCCTAAAGAAATATATTTGAAGACACCTGGTGCTGTGAGTACATGGTGGTGGTGATGATGTGGTACCGTTTGGTGCACAGTGTGGAGAACGCTGCATTCACTGGGAGAAGAGCATCCTTTCTCGTCAATACCTCCTGCTAAGCCACTTCCAACCCAGTCATGCAGACTTAGCTTTGTCTAACAGATTGTAACTGTGCTATTGACTGAAATCTTATACTCTTAGCACCTATAAAAACTCAGTTGACAAAAGGTAGTCAAATTCAGCAAGCAGAAGACATAGTATTCTGACATGGTTTCCATGAGAGCAAGGGGTTCCTGCCCACAAAGAAGGCAGGTTCTCAAAATGCCAATGAATTGTAGGTTTGTGAGAGAAATTTGCCTCCATTCAGATTCATCACTGTGCCAGCAGCCATGCCTTGGTCAATGCATCAGATCTTGGACAGGCATCATTACAGATCCCACAAAAGGGATTTTTGCCCTTGTCACATCTTAGTGATATTTGTAGAGTGGTGAATATTGGAACTAATCAGTCTCCTGGAAACCATAGTTAGGCTTGGGATATTACCGTGCAAATAGATGGTAAAGGCCTAATATTCTTACATTATCTGTAAACTTGTCTCCTGCATCTACTTGTTGACACAGTATACAAAAAAATAGGCTTCTGTTCTATTATGTGCTTTTTCTTCAGTTGTCTTCAGTAGAGCAGCTAATGGAACTTTAAGGGTTCACAGTTTGTATATGTTAGGCTTCATTGATTTTTATTTTTAATTTCCCACTGCTGGAGTCTGATATTAAACACTTTCCAGTGGTGCCAGAGAAGTGGACTATATCATGATGTTCTGCTTTATGTGAAGTGGATTTTCCTTTTTAGCAATATACTGAAACTCAAAACATCTGGAGTTAGACTGGAAACACTTATCTGCAACCCTAGGCACAGCATATTTGTTTGTTACCAAGTATCTCCTGAGGTACAGTATTCTATAAGAACTACATTGCTAGTCTGTCAATAGGTGAGGTTTTATTTGCTTTATTTGTTAAACAAAAATTGTACATTGTCACCTGCTTTACACTTTATCAAGAAAAGTCCAAAGTGTCTGGAGGAAAATCTAAAGGTTACTGTGTGAATGTAATATTTTTTTTTCACACACACAGAGGTCTAAAAAATTGAATTATATCATCTGAATGTGTTCAAGTCTGGAAGTGCTGAGAGTCCAGCACTTATAATAGTAACATCATTTATTCATGGGTTCATATATTGGCAATGGATACTAACATTAGCCTTTTGTTCTTTAAAATCCTGTTGTTAGGAATCATCTCTTTGCTTGGTTACGTTACAAGCTCCATAGAGCTCCTAGTTCCAAGGCACAGATATCTTTTTGTAATTATTACTAAATAGAAATTACCTTTACAGCCTATACTAAATACTGCTTTGTATGAAATGTTTTCATGTCTTATAAAAATATCTTCATTTCTGCAATGTAAGTGCATTAATTAATTGAAAAGAAACTACTCTGGCAATGTGCAGAGGAATAAAAGGGCTCAAAAAGGGAAGTTAACACTCAGAATTAGTTCATGTTCACTGGCTCAGACTTAATCCTCCTTTCTGGAGACTTTTTGGGTAAGTCAGCTTTAATTTATAGGTGGAACCTTAGGATCCTCCCCTCCAGTGACATCCCCAGTAGGTAACGTACAGGTCTACTGTGGGTTATCCTGCAGTCACCTGTGGTTGTGTTGTCTGGGAATATGCCACAGGTTCTCTCCACCCTCTGCTGAAGTAACAGGTGAAGCAAGAGCCACCGTATTGAAAAGAGTACAGAGCTTGCCAGTATCCTGTGGCTTTATGAGAGTATTTGAGCTCTGGGGGCAAATCCGTTAGGAAGAATTATTGGTGTCAGTGATGTTCCTGTTGCAAGTGAGAAACTAAACTGCAGTTGTGCCAGTCTTTGCTCATTCTGCTTTGAGGTCCTCTGATTAGGCTTTGTCTATTCAATTGATTTCCCCAAATAAAAGCAGTGATGTATTTTTATGTAAATGTTGTTTTATTTGTGGTGCATTAATGGACTGGTGTAAAAAAATCTGTGTAAATAAAGGCTATTTTTAAAACCTTTGGTCTGTGCTGTTCCAAGGCTTGTTTATATTTTTCAAGAGGATGTAGTGTTGGCATTATCATGCAAAAGGAGAGACCATCTCTTCTGATAGTACCAAAACCAAATAAAACCTTGAGTGACGTGAATAAGATATTTTCTTATGAGTTACATTGTTGGAGAGGTTTTGCCTCAGTATACCAGACACTTGCAAAGTGCAAGCAATAAAGAAGTATTCAGAAATTAATATGTTCATGCTCTGCAGTCTAAAAGATAGTTATATTTGTTGTAGAATCATTACAAATATGTAGTTTATTTTTCTGTTTTAGGCTCCTAAGGACCCAGTCTCTGGATTGGTACTATAATAATGTCAAAAGCCGCTTTAAGTGTTTTGGAAGTGCCAAGGTCCTGAAGAACTTATACAAGAAGCATAGACTGGAGAGTGGAGCTTGTCCTGATACAATAGGTAAGAGCAGCTGTGTCAATCTCTTATTAGCTTATCTACTTTAACACACAAGCTGAGACAATGGAAATTCTGAGATTATTTCAAAAGATATTTTTCAAGGCTATTTTTTCTTGCACAAGAAATACCTCAGTAAAGAAAAAAAAGTTATGAAGTGGCTAGAGAGCTATTTAAGAATTCAAAGAATGTTTGATCTTAATTATGCCACTGATACAGAAGAACTGTCTATAAAGTAAATTGCAGTTTGTATTCTAGCCTGTGTCCCAAAATTTATCACAGTTCTGAGTTGCCAGTGAATGAGAAAATTATTTTGCATCCAACATGTGACCTTAGAGCACATTTTAGTGGTGTTTGAAACAAAATTTGTTGGGATCCATTCAGTATCCAAGTGGACAAAAACCTAGAGTTAGCATAGAGTTTCACTTAAGAGTTTTGCATGCTTAAGGATGTGAAACTGGCCGCATCTCATTTTTGTACTGATGTTTGTAAATAGTTAAAAGTATTGGCATCACCCTTTTAAATGAAGACACAACGGTCCCTCAATTATGGCATTATAATGCCTGACCCCATAAGAAGTGTAATTGGAGATATAAAATGGGTTAGAAGACGTGGAGTTTGGTGTGATACTGGTAACTTCAGCAAATTCCTCAAAACATAGGTAGGTGAATGTTTGACATTTCATTGGATTTATTGGACCTGATGCTTTACTGATGTAAGCCTTTCAAAATTTGTACAGTGACTGTAGGTTTTTTTATAGTCCTTACTTTGTAGTCCTACTATGCCTTTTTTTGAAACTCTATAGGATAGTAAGTAGACAGTCTAGTCCTAAGTGGAAATTTTAGGTGTTTCTTATGAAAATTGGCATAAAAGCTTCTAGGGAGAAGCGACCTATGTATTAAATTGTGATGTATTGGTCTTTTCCCTTTCTCAGTGAATGAATAAAAAATAAAAAATCCATTTTTCTTGAGAATATGTATGAAGACAAGCAAATCTGTGTCAGCAAGGGCAGATGCTTCAGAACTTTCATATGATAGGTTGCCTTTACTCAAGTCATAGTCTCACTGAACTGGTCCTTGAATGGAAGTGTGAACAATGCAATGATGAGTTGCAGTGGCACGTGCACTCTCTGCGAGACCTTTCTAAGGAAGGCTTTTGAGTCTAAATGTCATTGCTAACTTTCTTCTGCTGTCCATGTGACTGTTAGGTAAACCTTTTGTTCCCTTTGAAGATAAATGCTAGTATACGTGTCTGGTTTTGTCTTATTTATACAGCATTGCGCTTTAAAATGTAGAATCTATTTCAACCCCAAATGTCATATGAAACTTCTACCGTGTAAGTTTTATACCTAGTAGCTTCTTCCTCTCTCTTTTACTGTACTCATAGTTTTCTCCATGCAAAATGAATGAGAGGTCTTTGATATAAAAGCAGTCATGTTTTTTACAAGAGGTGCTGCAGTCATTATTTATACAACAGCTAGGAGGAATTTTCAGGTTATCCCTCTTTATGTGCAGTGCCACTGTATCTGGAGTGAATATTCTAATGTAATAATGCCTCTGTTGTCAGTAGGTGGCACTTATACTAATGCACAATTCTGTCTTTTTAGCAGAGGGAAGTTTGTTTGAAGGAAGCTTTGAGAATGAAGGAAGCGTTTGTGGCAGTGACTCTACATTCTACCAACAGACAGAAGGTATGCTGCTAAAAACTCATTTGATTAAAACACACACCTTATACTCTGAATTACTGGACAAGTAGCTTAGAGTGCTGGTAAGTCTTGTTCACAGATCCAGCAACCTTTTGGCTGAAACATTCAGCAAGATACTAAAAGTCTTTTGCATACTGTGCTGGAATATCTTGCTTCAGTATTATGGCTAACAGGCTTATTTTAGTGTGATTTTCTTAATGTTCAATTTTTGTTACTTCTCTCCCATTTTCTTTCCTATGCTCATATATTTTGTCATTATCTTTCTTATATTCTGTTGGTGTTTATAGGAACTTTACAAAATTTCTTCCAATTATTTCCTTTGAACTATTTTGCTGCATTCTAAAATAAGCAACATAAAAAAATACTGTGTTTTATTGCATTTAAGATTTACATTTAAGAAGTAACATAGAGATTGAAAAAAATGTCTCTGTCTTAAGATATTTATTTTACTGTGCATAATTATGGATTGAGAACTTTTTGAGAACAATTTCAGATTTGAATATGTGTCCAGAATACGAGTCTGAATTTTGGAGCTCATTTTGTGAAATATGCATATATAAAGAACATGGTGGTTTTATCTCATTCTTCATCTAGGACACAGCATGATGGATACCCTTGCTGTGGCCTTACGTGTTGCAGAGGAAGCAGTGGAAGAAGCTATTTCTAAGGCAGAGACCTACAGTGACAGCTTGGTAACACTTTTTTTAAAATGTATTAATTCAAATAGAACAATTTTGTTTCTTTTAATTTGGGTAGTGGTACAAAACTGAGTAGATACAAAAGAAAACACAAAGAAGTAGTGACTATCTCATGCCATACCTAAGGAGTTATGCATGGGTTTTATGAACTGGCATCCAGAATGCATGTTGGTTGCATTTCAGAAGGTGACATGCAATTTTAAGTGCCTGTAATTTCTTCCCACAGTGCCAATAGGACATATTGCCCATTTCCCATTATATACAATTTCTGTGGAAAGGCCATTTTTATGTGATTTTAGCAAATACCTATCTCCATTTTCATGCAGGACAAGCAGAATGAAGCTTGTTACTTGCAGGAGCACAAGGAGGACCTAATAGAAGAGCTGGCCACAACCATTGTGCAGAAGGTATGGTGTCATTTTTTCTGTAGCTTGTTTAATAGCCAAAACACAATGCTTTAGTCTGGTGAACTTAACTCTTCTGACAGCAAAAAGTATGATGGCAACATAAGAAGTGAAATAAATGACAGGTTGCAGCTTCAACTATCACAGTATAGGCTTAACCAGCTATGTCTGACAGAGAGAGCAGTTTATATATATGATTAATCCAGTGCCTAACCCCATGCCTTACACCCTCAGAGCTGAGAGGTACCACTCCCTGAGGTCTGTGATATCATTTTAATATCATGGAATTTTACATCTGTACTTCACTTCCCCACAGGCACAAAGTTACCTAATGTCAAGAGTTTTGGCTCTTGACCATCTGTGTCGCTTCCCCAACAGCACAAAGTTTTCCAGTGTCAAGAGGTCTGACTCTTGACCACACACCGCTTCCCAAAAGACATAACATTCTCCAATATAAAGAAGTGTGACTGTTGACCATACCCTCTATTGAATCCTGCACCTGCAACACATGCAAAGAAAACATCAATCATTAAAATAGAATTCTGTTAATGATGCTATGAGACACCAAAAAAATCACAGAACCATGTCTGATGTCTGTGTAAAACATAAAGCTCATTCTTTTCCCTGCAAAGTGGAGGGCTAGTGGGAACAAATATCCCTTAAGTTTGTCTGGACAGTTTGGAGCAAGGCAGTACAAGCATGAACAGGGTGCTCTTGAGCTCCTGTCATCAGTAAGGTAACCACTCTGCTAAGTTAGTCTCCTTCCATGTGAACTGAGCTAGCTGCCACATCTGTGTATGGGCTATGGTATTTAAAAATACACACCAGAAGAGGAATATGTTGTTTATAAGGCTACTAAGAAAAGCCAGAAGAGCAGGACCTCAATGGAAAATAATCTGCCTTCTTATTTCATAGGCATGGTAGAAGATTAATTCTGCTTATTGGGTCTTTCATAGTCCAGAGCCTATCTCAGCCAAGCTTGGATTGCCACCACTTTTGTCAAGAGCTGCCTAACAAGATCTTTTATGCCATAGAATAATGTTCTGTAGATATTTTATATTTAGTCAAAAATATTGTGGAAATGAAGTGTAGCAGGACATAACCTGTCAGTGTAGGGAGAAAGGTAGTCTACATGATCTCTCCTTCTTAAGACAGTGTAGATTTTCAGAAACAAAAATAGTGCCTAGACACCTGAGACCTCATTGTTTCCACTAGATATGTATCTAGATACCATGGGAACCTTTGAAATTCCCCTCATCTAGTATTTTATGTTTCTCAGCAAAAAGTCTTGTCTGAGAAAATACTCGATACTTAGACGCTGCTAATGTTTAAATGGTTAGTGTAGCAACAGGTTTCCATGTTTATTTAATTCATCTCTGATGTTCCTACAGGCATTGATTATGATTTATTGTATTGATGCTTAATGCTTGCAAGCAGTATGACTTCAGATGAGAAAGCATGCAAGTTGTCAGAATTGTCTTTACATGAGCTGGTGCAAGAGCAAAGGGAAACTCAAATGTTCCTCCTAGGCAGTTTGCCTTGAGACAGAGTTAATGTAGTTTTTCTCTATATGGCTCAAATGGTGTTTTCTGAGAGCAATTTTTCTCTCCCCTCCCACCACCTGTTCCCCTACCTTACAGATTATAAAGAAGCAGAAAAGCAAAGCTGAGCAGGCCGAGGCTGACTTTGAATGGCCACCATCCAGGAGCAGTGGCCTGGCATCTGTTGCTGTCTCAGATCAGAGTATGCTGACATTTCCAGGGAGCCGCAGGGGGTCCTACACATTGTGGGTGAGTGGTTCTGATGAACAACACCTGAAGGTTGAAATCGTGGATAAGTATACTTACTGCCTGGAATAGTATGTAGAGACTTGCAGAGAAGAAACATTAAACCTATGTCTGGACAACCTGTCGCTGAGCTGCATTCTTTCCTTTCCTAGCATCGCATGGGCCATCGAAGTACATCACAGACATTGTGTTGTTTTGCTGAGTGTGTTGGGAAGGACTAAGTTTGTGATATGAACAATCTTACTCCTTGATTTGAATGCTAACTGGAATCAGTTCCTCAGTGTTTATTCTTCAAAACAGTTTTTCTGCTCACTTAGCCTCTATTTATATTTTTGCTGAGTGTTATATTTTCTTTTGTATAATATTAGATTTCTGTAATGTTTCTTTTTCTTCTTAGCCATCCTAAAGAAAACAGCCACAACCAACAACAAAAAAGTAAACCCAACTGTTGAGCACCATTTCTGTCTTACACTAAAGAGTATTTCCTCCTTTCATTTATTTCTCAGCACAGTGTCTTCAGGTCCTGCTATAAAAGCTGAAGAAAATCTCACAAGCTGCATTAGTAACATTTTTTTATAGAGCAGCAAAGAAAATGAAGTGAAAATAAGCTGTAGGCTTGGACAGTTTGACAATTGGAGAGGGAAGACAGTGACAGATGAGTTAGTTCAAGTGCATTTTGATACTGTGGTTTAAGCTGCTACTCCCAAGTGTCCTGCTACTGTGCCAGTAATCACTTATCCCCCACTGAGCAGAACCACCAGAATTGAACATGAGCTATGTCTTATTTCCCAGCTAAGTTTGCTAGCTTACACTCCCAGTGAGAACAGATTTATGTCAGAATATAGACTCTGGGCCAGAATTGCTGAGATACAGACTCTCATTCTAGTCTCCCACCTATTTTCAAATTGAAGGAGTAATGCCTGTAAGCTGCTACTGTTAACCAAGAGATCAGAAGTTAGGGTGAGTATGTTTAAGTGCTTTCCTCTGTAGCTCCTAGGCAAGTTGCTTGTGGAACATAAGAGCCAGGAGAGAGACAGTTAATTTTGTGTCTGACTCAACTGAGTTTTCTTTCTGGAATTTAAGGACAGGGCCTGGAGCAATATGCTGTTCAAATCCTCAGTCGTTATATCAGAAGCCTGTTGTTCTTTTGCGTTTGGAATGCTTGAACTCAACACATTTTGAAATTATCTTCTGAAGTAACAATTTAGTCCTAATTTTTTTGCCAGAGGGAGGCTCCTTGGTTTGTGTAACAGTAAACTTTGTGGAAAATATTGGAGTAGCAAAAATGTCACACTAAGATGAGAACAGCGTCAAAACTTCTGTAGCCATCAGTCAGTACTAGAGATCCAGATGTGTACAGTGCTTTATAAGGACTCTGTACCTCTTCACAGGGTCTTTCACCACGTTTGTCACAATTTGTTCCAAATGTCTTCCCACAGTGCTTTAAGGTGTGAATTCTTTCATGTCTCCCATAAATTTAGCATCTGCCTTTTGCTTTGCTAGGGCTGTTTTATTGTTTTCTTTTGTCCTTTGAAGTGTGGATGTGTTTATTTTTGCTTTCCTTTGAATAGAGGAGAATTTTGTTAGTATAACCAGACACCCTTAGAAGGAAAGTATAGCTCCAGTTGTTCCCATAGCTAAGACAGTTGCAGTTATGTTAGCCTATTAGACTAGCAAAATTAAAGCTACAGAAGCTCTAACAAAGGGCCTGCTGGGAAGCCTACTGAAAGGTGATTTGTGCAGAGCAAATACAGAGCAGTTTGATTCTCATCAACAGTGCTGAAACAACCCAAATGCCTTTTCCTGAGCTTGCTTTCCACTTTGCTTTCATTCAGCTGCAAATGTGAAGCATGCATCTGTCAGTAGATTTACAGGACTAAATCGCATCAATTTCTCCTCTGTATATTATGTAAGGAAGTTATCTTTTCTGCCAAAAGAATTTCCAAACCAAAACCTAGCTGCTACAGAAGCTGGCAGAGAAGTCCTATGGCCCTATGCCCATTCCAGGCAAAGCTCCTTACTCCCTCTCAAGAACTCTGGAGTCCAGGTTTGTAACAGCAAATCTTCCTGGGTTCCACTGTACTAAGTGAAGTTTTCTTAATTCCTAACTGATGCCATCATGTTGGAAATAAGCCCCAAAACAACAACCAACCGAAACCCAACAAACTCTTGATTTGTGTACACATCCTAACATTGAGCTGTGTGTGTTGGCTTAGTTTGAGCAGAGATCTGCCTGTAATGATAAAAACCTTTTAATATTAATACACACCACAGCTAATAAGGGGCTGTTGCAACAGATTTATTAGCACAGGTGTTCCTAGTGTAACCAAGGATTTTGTAGACAGACACCATGGCCCCAAAAGTCACAAGGGAAGAAAAAAGAAAAACAGGTGTTCATTTTTTTCTATCAAAGCTACCCAAGGTGACTGTTACTGTGTCAGAGATGTATGTGAACCTGTTGCCCAGTAAGAATTATTTAAGTACTGCTTAAGTATTTCTTTGGTACCTGGCAAACAAATTAGCAGAAGCAGGATAGAATAAATAAAAGGAAGGAAGAAACATGATTAACAGAAATACAGACATGCAAAGGAAAGGGAGGTAAGGATAGCAAATCTTAAAGCAGTCAGGATTTCATAATTTAAAACTGGAAATTCATCTTAGAGCAAGTATTTTTATTTGTTTTCAGTGTTGAAGATAATACACGTGGTTTTGCTAGCACAATAAAGCTACTTACATACAACGTAGGGCAGTTATATGCTGTAACACTGACCCTTAGAAACCCACGTTTATTATTCCATTGCATTTTATTACCAAAGTAATTTGTTTACAGTGTCAGAGCATGCTGTAATAATCACAGATATCACTGTGTGGTTATACCTGCCAATCAAGTTTTCTTTTAATCGCTGCTATTTGTGTGCAGCTCGTCCATATCATCCAGAAACTTGTGGTTATACCTGCCAATCAAGTTTTCTTTTAATCGCTGCTATTTGTGTGCAGCTCGTCCATATCATCCAGTGGGCTCTGGAAGTCTTGCATTACCTCCCTGCTCATCCAGAATCACTTGCTTGGTGAAACCATCATTAAATAAGTTAAACTTCCCCCCTCCCATCACCCAAAATATAGTATTGATTGTTTAACTGCAGTACTATGGTGTGGTAGTAGCTGTAGATATTATCCTTTCATTTTTTTTTTCCTCTTTGATTTCCTTGTGGTCCCTTGCCCATGCTAAAAAATAGTGATACAAGGCTGAACATTTTATTTCCCTACCTCATAAAAAGAGATGGATGGCACCATCTGTTTCTCATTACCAATAAGCAAAGGCTGTACAATGTTGGGATAGGAGGAGCTTAGGGCAATGGGTGAATGCTTCTCTGCTTTCTCAGTCCGGTTCACCTCCCATACATCTCTGCCAGTGAGAGAGCAAACGACCTGTTGGCATATTGTATCCCATTTAAACATTGATGGAGTGCAGGCACCCTGGTGTGCTTTAAATGCTGTATTAGTGGTCTTTATTTTACAGCTAAAAGATTGCATATATAAACAGAAGTTCATCCATAATTTATAGTATATAAAACAGCTAGGGATATAGGGAAAAGGAGGATTTCATTAAATACACATTATGATGCACCTCGGGGGAAGCAGAAATTTACTGGTTAAGCTAATTATAAGGTCCACAGTGTACCAACAGTTGTTTATTTTGTAAAATTTTTTTCTAATTATAAGGTCCACAGTGTACCAACAATTGTTTATTTTTTAAAATTTTTTTTCTGTTTTATTTGTTTTAAAGAGAAGGAAGTTTCTGCAAGCCTGAGGTCCAACACTGCTTTGGAAATCCCTGGAGGTTTTCTAGGTGTTCAATACCTTTCTAAGTTTGTCTCTAACAAACACTTGAAGAAAATCTTTTGGAGGAGGAATCCTGTTTAGCAGTCATACAGCACAGTGAGAGATTTCAGATAAGGGAGGCATAAGAATGTAAGAAGTTGATACCAGCTGACATCAGTTCCTACCTGTCAGTGATTCTGTATCAGAAACATAATATTTATGTCTAATTAATAAATGTGTCACATCATAGGGAAGATGGAGCTTTTAGCTTTTATACGTGAACTGGCATCAGAAGGTTGCATGGCATGTATTGCTGGGGCCTACTTCCAATGAGGCAGGTGTGCATTCATCCAATAGCCCATCAGCTGGATCCTGACAGGTTATTTGTTGTCTTGTTTCCTTCCAAAAAAGGTCAACTGCAGCATCATCTTCTCTGTACAGGATGGGAAACAACAGTACACTTTGAGACGGCAAAGCAATTGGTGCTCTGAAAAAAAAAAAAGTGTCTTTCTAAAATTCATACTTATTATGTGAAAATCCAAGTACTTTCCAGGTTACAGATAATATTGTCATCTGCTGACTTCACAGATGGCACTGTAACATTGTAGTCTCACTGCAGAAGTGATTCAGATTTCAGATTAAGACAGCCTTGTCCATAGTAATCTGGTTGATTTCCCTCCTTCCACTGCTGCAGAAGGATGGGATACAATTGCTTTTTGTACCTGACTCAGCAACTAGTACCGCCACTTTTTAAGGCTCAGGTCACTAAATAATCAGTGCAACAGCATTGTCCTTTTCAAGTTTTTTTGTATAGTTTGAGCTTGTACTTCATCTTGAGCTATATCTCTAGCATAATACTACTGGTTTTTAGCTTCATAGTACAATCCATGCACTTGACAAACATCCAAGAAGACAGTTTTGGATGCTGGATACATGATCAAGCCCATGCAGGCCTACATTCAGCTGCATTGCACTTACTGTCAGCAAACCAAGATGTGTTTTAAGGCATGAAAGGGAGTAGGAGAGAAGACAGAGAAAGGTGGCCATTCTGTAATGTCATTCTCTAAATAATTTAGATCATATGTTGTTCTTTCAGCTTTGTTTTGTTTTAAAGATGCTATTGTAACACAGTCCTGGGAATTTTAAGGTCTAACTTAAAACCTGTAATGCTCAGAGCTAGG